TATTGACAGCAATGATGAACATGCTGCACCGCTTTCAATCCATGATTCATGGCTGATCAATCAACAGCGCCAACTCCCTTTTTGGTCGGGTGATGTGTTTTTTCAGCAGTTTTCGCAGTTTTCGCCTTCATCGATCGGCACTGTTGTTGATGTTGCTGCCTCTTTTCATCCCCATTCCCCTGGTGATCCTTCTCAACAGTGTGAACGTGATGCATTGCTGCACGGTGAGGCAAGCATGCGGCAGCCAGCAATGCAGCCTACACCAATGCAGGTGCAGGACCAAAGGGGTTTGGAGAGAACTGCAGATGTTTCAACAAAGATGTCAACAGTTTCAACTGATGTTGCAGTGCGGAAACATGTCAGTTTTTCAGATGATGTTCAATTTTTACATTCAGCGTCAACCACATCACACATGTTATCAAGTCCATTGCCACAGCCTTCACATGCATTTTCATCAAGTTCTTTGCAACAGCCTGCATTGGATCGTGCTACAACAGAAAGCCGACCGTCCGCAAACACCCAGGGAACTCAAGATCCCGTTGCGCCCCAATCTCGACCTGGTGAGTTTTGGACGGGCGATGCAGAAGCGTGTGACGCAATGGCTGCTGGCTCAGAACGAAGACATGCCAGACCCGGTGCCGAAGAAGAAGTCACCACCGGAAAAACTCATGCAGGCCTGGCGTCGCATGGTGTTGGCAACCATCAGGTTGTACCTGGAGGTGATGTTACAGTCGGTGACCGACTACCTGACAAGCAGAAACAGGGGAACCATGGCAAAGCTCCCGAAGGCCAAGAAGGACAAGTCCCTGGTCCCAGCGGAGTCGAAGAAGACCGCCAAAGTCAGGCGTGGCATAGGGCAGCCTCTGCCTCGCTCCAAAGCATGCAAAAGCTGGCCCAAAGAGCCCTTGGACTGTGCTCACGAAGAAAGCCAATTGAGGCAGCGGGGGTCAAAGGACAGTTTTTGGTGGACGTGCCTGCAATGTGGAAGCCGATGGCAGCGCGTGGAGTGGGAACCCGACATGGAGCTCAACGCTGGTGCGGCCTCTTCAGGGGAATACCGCGGTTCAGCGGGAACAGAGAAGATCCAGACGTCTTCCAAGGTGGCATCCCCAAGCAGACTGCCACCGCCGAGATCAAGGCCCAACCTGACAACCTTGGTCGTCGAGGAGGAGACAGTGGTCCGCACAGATCCCCTGATGGCACACGAAGGGAGGATGACACCAGCACCCATGCAGTCAGAAGGACAACTCCCAATGCCGCTGGAGCACCCACAGAACCGCCACCGCCAAGCAGCCATGGGGATTCCACCAACAACCAGTCTGGTGACCGACATGGCGGCTCAGGCACTGATGGATGGGATAGATTTCGACCCAACCGATCAGACAGCCGATCAGCAGTTGGAGAAGTTGATGGCCGAGCACAAGAAGGAGCGCCGCAAGCAGATGCAGATGGCCAGTGGAGTTCGACCTGCCCAACCAAGGTCAAAGTCTCGAGGACCAGCATCATCGGAGCTGGAAATCCAGGAGATCCACACGTCGGACGACGAGACGACTCCACGCAAAGCCATCCAAGACTTTCAGATGGTGACTCCATGAAGAACCAGGTATGCAAATCCCAGGAATATGAGGGCAATGGTGGATGCAAGACGAATTCAATAGCGAAACCACTTGCCCAGGCCACGAAGTTGGCAATGTTTGCAACGGTCCTGGTTTGCTCTCAGTTGCCCGATGCAGAGCAACGGATCTCTACGTTGCTTGGTCCTCGGATGGAGTTTGAGGACAGCTACAGCACTGAGGGTGACCTGGGCATCAAAGAAATGACTTTTTCCTTGAATGCCAGCACGTCTGAGCTGGCCCGCACTGATTTTGATGGTGTGCCCAAAACCATCGACAAGCAGCAACGACAACACGTTTCTTTTGCACTACGAAACTATCTCGACCACATTGGCGAGATCTACAGCCCTCCAAGAGCCACTGCAATGTCTCCAGGTGAAGGACTCCGTGGGAAGATAGCGCTGGACTTGACCAACGGCTGGGACTTCTGCAAGTCAGAGCATCGCCAAAAGGCTGTGAAGCTGGTGAAGACGCACAAACCTGCAGTGCTGTTACTTTCACCTCCATGTGGACCATTCTCATCCCTACGGAACTTGTCAAACAGCAAGCGTGACAGTGAACAAGTTCGACGTGAAGTCATCGAGGGTGAGCTCCACATGAACTTCGCCATCAGCCTGGCCATGCTACAGATCTCCGAAGGCCGTGGGTTCATCCTGGAACAGCCCAAGAATGCCAAGTCTTGGAAACTCCCCAAGATGCTGGAGTTGCTGGATCATCCAGACGTTTACCAGATCCGCGTGGACATGTGCCAGTTTGGCCTACGTGCTCAAGCAGGTCCCTGCAAAGGGGAGCTGGTCCAAAAGCCCACACTCCTGGCCACCAACATTGCAGAGATGGCTCACTACGTTCAGAAGACTTGCAACAAGTCGCATCAACATGGAATGCTGGTTGGCGGCTCAGCTAAGATGGCCGCGATCTACACGCCCCACTTTGTCAAGGCATTGCTGCATGGTATCAAAAATGCCCTTGGAATCAAAGCAGCAAAGCCTCAGAATCCACAACTTCACCAAGCCTTCCTGTATGGCAAGTCGATTGGCATCCAAGCCCAAATTTTTGCAGTGGATTGCCAAGAGGTCAACATGGATTTTGCAATGGCCTCCAATTCACATCCGCAATCATTGGACTTTCAGGCCGATGGACTTAGGCAGGTGGTTGGATTTGGACTTGAGCCACCTGCCCGGCCAAATGCAGAAGCCAGTGGACTTTATCCATCCAATGGACTTTCACGGATGGTCTGGCCTGCAGCAGCGGATGATGAAGACTTGCCTGAGGCAGTTGTGCCAGAGGCAGTGGATGACGAGGTGTTGGAAGAAACTCGCCGTCAGCTTCGCAATGTTGGCGAGCAACCTGGAGTTTCCAAAGCCCTTGCAAAGATGGAGGACTTCAAAAAGGTGGATGAGGGAGAGTTCTCGCTTCCTCCAAACTTGAGGCGAGAAGTTCATCGAGTGCATCGGAATCTTGGCCACCCTGGATTGGACATCTTCGTCCGTGCTTTGCAGAATGCTGGAGTTCAGGAACATATCATCCAGTGGACCAAGAGACACTTCAGATGCCCAACATGCGATGCACTTCCTCGACCAAAACCAGCACGACCTGGACACTTGATGCGAGCATTGGAGTTCAACACTGTGGTTGGCATTGACCTTTGCTTCTTGGACTTGCAGCACAAACAGGTCATCCTGCTCAACATGCTGTGTTGGGGCACCAACTTCCAACAAGCATGCATCTGCCAGAGCAAGAATGCAGATGAGGTGGTTGAACGTTTCATGAATGAATGGGTGAAGCATTATGGACCTCCCGTTCTTTTGGTCATGGACAGAGGCAAGGAGTTTGACAACGACAAGCTCAAGGAGCTTGTGCGTGGTCTTGGCGTTGGACTCCACTACACAGACGCCCAATCACCTTGGCAGAACTCAAGAACTGAGAAGGCTGGAGGTATCTTGAAAGAGAAGATCCTAGCGACAATCCACGCCACATCAGCCTCGATGGAAGAGCTGCCATATGTCATCTCTGAAGTGGTAGCAGGACGAAACCGCTACATGGATCGATTTGGATTTAGCCCCATGCAGCGTGTCTTCGGCAAGAACCTGCGCCTCCCAGCCTCTCTCCTTGCCACCGACGCCCTGAACCGCGAGCTGGCGGATGCGTCGGCCACAGACCCCATTCACCGATCATGGGAGATTCGAGATGCAGCTGCCCGCGAATGGATCCGAAAGCAGGACCAAGGTGCTGTGCGACGCAGTCTGCGCGCTCAAACCCGCACCAGCGACCAACAGAAGATTCCTGCTGGATCATGGGTCTACGTCTTCCGGGACACACCTTCCTACAAGGGTTGGGTTGGCCCTGGCGTCACTATCGCCGAAGACCCCACTGGAAAATCATCCTGGGTGTCTATGCGCGGCAGGCTATGGAAGGCATCTCGAGAACAACTTCGACTAGCCACACCTGAAGAAGAGCTTGGAGCCGAGCTCATTGTTGAGCTTTCCAAAGAGATGCTGGCGAAACTGAGCAAGCCAGGTCATGTCGTCTATCAAGATGTCACTCAAGAAGGAGGACCCACAGACGACTATTATGATGAAGTTCTCAGGACCTTGAATGTCCGTGAAGAAGGAGCTCAACAAACTGAGACCCAAGATGGCTCATCTCAATCAGGTGATGCAACAACTTCAACCACGACGAGCACCACGGGAAGCTCTTCAGGTCAAGCTCACATGGAGGTGGACACGGAAGTGGATGGTTCAAATGTGACGACGGCACCAAACTCTGAACTGCCTAGCAGACGTGCGAGCATCGCATCTGAGACTGGAGTGCCAACCGCACCAATGGAAGTCATTCCAGAAGTGAGTGAACCAGCAAGCCCTGTGAGCATGCCCCCACAACCAATGCTACCGGCAAGAACTTTTGGCCCGTCAGCTGTTGAACGACAACGTCATTCAGCACCATACCCAGCTGCACGGCCACGAGCACCTGCACAAGAACCGTTGTTGGATCAGCCAGAGACACCAACGCTGAGACAAAGTTCTGTGACAGGTCCCACACCAACCTTGAGTCAGAGGTCAGTGACAGAAGCAGCCCCAAGGACACCATTTCCATTCAACCCGGGTGCGCCCTCTCTTCCAAGGCCACCGAATCAATCTCTCTATGTGGAAGTGATCAATTTTGAAGATGATTCACACCTGTTTTCTGCAGTGCAGGCACCAGCCTTCATCGGTGCCACATGGAAGTTTTGCCGAGAACAGCAAAGGTCAACTTTGAGACCTTGCACTGAAGATGAGGCCACGTTTTCATGCCAGCAAGCAGAGGCAAGCTATTGCATCCGAGACAGCTGCATGTACGTGACCAAGACAAAATCATCTTTTGGACAAGTTGAATTTTCGAAGTTGCCTGAAGAAGAGAAGAGAATGTTTCGGGCTTCACGCAAAAAGGAGCTCGACAGCTTGGTTTCCACTGGCGCTGTGCGAATTCTGTCTGTGGAGGAAAGTCTCAGATTTTTGCGAGACACACCAGAACAGGTGATTGATTCCAAGTATGTGGACCGCTACAAGCCTATTGCAGTTTCAAAAGGAAAGCTGGAGGAGTACAAGTCCAAAGCACTGACTCAGGGACACTTCAAAGCCATCGAGCTGGAAGCAGATGCCACCAATCCAAAATCACGGTTGTGCGCAGTGGGATGGCAGGATCCGCAGATCCTCGAGGTGGAGCGTTCTTCCCCGACGCCATTGTCAACGAGCTTGTATGCGTGCTTGCAGTTGGCATCAAGCAGACGATGGGCTACACGGGTTAAGGATGTGAAGACCGCTTTCCTGCAGGCCTTGCCGACCACCAGGTCAAAACCACTTGCCTGCCGGATGCCACGTGATGAATGTCCAGAAGGACTTGATCCACGACAGCTCCTGTTGCTGCTCACCGAGATCTATGGCCTGGTGACTGGACCCAGCTGGTGGAGAAGGACACTTCTCAAAACAGCGACTGAGAAGCTGAAGTATGAGGTGAATTGCTATGACAGGTGCATCCTCACACTTCCAGCTGAAGAATCCAAACGTGGATCCCCAGGTGCATTGTCCGACGGCTTCATCGTCATTGAGGTTGACGACATTGCGGAGGCTGGTGGACCGCGGCATCTGGAGAAAATGAAGCAGTTGGAGTCAATGCTAACTTTTGGAAAAGTAGAGAACTTGCAGTCTGCTGAAGGAACAAACTATGCAGGACGTCATTTGCGCCAGCTGCCTGATTTCAGCTTTGAGATCACGATGGAGGAGTTCATCTACACGCGACTGGAACCGATTCTCAGTCACAAAAAGGTTCTCAAAAAGCATGCAGCTGAGACGCAACTGAACGAAAGCGAGAAGACGCAGTTGAGAGGCTTGATCGCTTCTTTGAACTGGGTGTCAAGGGAAGGAAGGCCTGATGCTTCATCCGCAGCATCAATCCTGGCTTCGTCGTTTCCAAACCCGACAATGGAGCATGTGCATGCCGCGAATGAGGTGGTGAAGCACCTGAAGACCTTTCCTGTGACCCTCCGGATTCATGCGATTCCTGAAAGCCAACTGCGACTGGTCCTGATAGCAGATTCAGCATTTGACACCAGTGGACGTGAGAAATCTCAACATGGATGGTTGCTTGGATTTACAAATCCACTACTGAACAGAGGAGAGCCTGCGCCCATCTCTCTTATTCAGTGGCGATCCAAGCGGCTTCGGAGAAAGGCATCATCTTCATTGCTGTGCGAGGCGATTTCGATGTCTGCAGCGACAGGTGCTCTGGAACGCTTGGACGCCTTCTTCCAAAGCATCCGCCTGTCAGACTACAGCCCGAGACGAAAGCAGCTTTCAGAAGATCAATACCTTGAGGCCGCTGGAAAGGCAACAGTCATTGCAAATGACTCCAACATCTATCGAGATCCTCACAGTGTCTGCGTCATGGATGCGAAGAGTCTGTATGATGCTCTGAATTCGGAGCAAAGCCAGGGCGATGATGATAGGAGTGCATTAGAAACCGCGATCATTCGCGAATCCATGTCAGTGTGCCGCAGCCGACCCCGATGGATCCCTCACAACATGAACCCAGCTGATTCAATGACGAAATTTGTGGGTGGGCATCATGAACCCCTGTTGAAGTTGTTGAAGACTGGAAAATTTATGATAGAGGAAGAAGAAGAGGTCTTGCTGCGCGGCAAACAGTCGGAGCAAAGACTGAAAACCAGTCAAAGCTCATGTCAAACTCCATGGAACAAGAACTTTAGGGGGCTGATGAACTCATTTAGCAGTCTGTAACCATTCCATGGAGTCATGTCACTTTGCTGCAGTTGTGAAAACTTTTGCCTGCTGACCGCAGAGCTCTTGGGCGCAAGTTCAGACGGAAAAGGTTCCGTGCCTTGACCGCCGACATGGCGGTGTCTTCATTCGTTGCTTGAACATTTGCATCTTTTGATCCTACAGTTGTTTATTGCATTGCAGACAGTTATGTTTCACGACATCGAAAGGGAGTTCCTTGGTAAATATCCTTTGGCTATAACACCTACGGTTCCCTTCTTTGATGTGGAGTTCGCTGATGATACTGTTCTTATTTCCCGAAACAGCGAGCACCTCCAACGTCTTCTTCATTTGGTTCAGAGGGAAGCGGCGAAATACAATTCGCACCTCAATCTTGGTAAATGTAAGTTGGTTCTCTACAACACGGAGACTGCCATTTTCTTCATTGATGGGTCGCAAGTTCCACTGGCTTCTTCGGTTGTGTATTTGGGTGCTCTAATTGACTCAAAGGGCAAACCGGGACATGAAGTGTCAAAGAAGATCAGAGATTCACGTCGGGTGTTTAAGACTTTGTTGCGTGTTTGGAAACACACCAGAATTAGCACCAAGCGCAAGATCGACATTTATTATGCCTGCGTGGTCAGTAAGCTGATGTATAGTCTGTGTACTCTTTGCTTAACTGAAAAGCAAATGCGGCTTCTGGACCCTCCTTGGCATAGAACGGATATCAAACGAGCAAGTCCGTTGTCAGATGAATCTTTTAAATTTGTCGGACGAGCTCCGGCTACAACAGATGTCTCTTCTTGGACACATTTTGCGACGGCCCCCTAACCACCCAGCCCGAGTTGTGACCTTTAACAGATTTTTACAGCCGCAAATGCTGGGAGGGCCCTTTATGAGAGGAGCTCGGAGAATTAAGTGGAATGATGTTGTTCTTCAACTCGCAACGACCATTGTTAACGACCATTACTTCCAAGGGGCAGGCGTGGAGAAATATATTTTACAAAAACTTTTTGAGGTGGCACAAAACAGAAAAGAATGGTCCGCACTTTTGCAAACTGTCCGCGTTTCTTGGCGCCGCCCACGGGATGCTGCTGGTGCCCCATGGCAATGAAAAAAACCATTAATGGTTACTCACCATAGTTATTGCCACATCTGACATGTCGCTTCCTACCAGGGGGGGCGACCTCCTCTTCCAGGCCCAGAGTGGTCCCTCTTGGCGGCGCGCATGGAGTCCGACCGCATCGGTGTTTTCTGGCGGGACCGGGCGACCGGGCTGGGGAGTTGGGGCTGGTGAAAGTGGTGGAAATCCCGAACTGGTTTTCCAACAAGGGATGGTGATGTCATACTGATTTCATGGGAAAGTTCATCTTTAAAAAAAACGAATATATATATATATATATACATATATATATATACATACATACATACATATATATATATGGTCATTTTTGATGGCACATGTAGTTGCTAGGTGGGATATCAGGAAACCAGAGACGTGCCAAATATAAGGGAAACATGGTCAAATCGCAATCAATACTCGAAATATAGTAAATCAATGTAAAACATACTAACTGAGTCAAACTGCAATCATGAATTAGACATTAATTACAAAATCGTGCTAAGTAAGTCAATCCTAAACTTGGTTTCTGCAGGGAACATGGCAGGTTTAACCTTCTAAGAATGACCCGCTGGTTTACTTGCAAATGTCCCCAACTATGGTTCTCTACCAGTCAAAAGAAAGATGTCTGGTCCAACATTGCACGGAGCAAAACCCGACTCGAAGCCATTCTCAATACGTGGTGCTTGGTGATTTTGCTGGGTAGCACCTGGATTCCAGGATTGTTATGGCTGAAATATTTTCAGAAGACCTGAAAAATCATAGCCATCCTTAGCCATGGGTCATAGCCCATCCCACATTCAACCTGACCAACCAGGGGGGCCATGTGGGATGGGCTATGGGATGGCCAAATGGGATACGGATGAGACATTTTTAATGAGGTTATACCCTCTGGTAAGCTAACATAGCTATTGAAAATGGTGATTTATAGTGGATTCACCCATTGAAAATGGTGATTTTCCATAGTTATGTTAGTTTACCAGAGGGTAATATGTATGTATGTTGTAGTATAATATAGATCAATGATGATAATGATGATATTAATGGAGGTTATAATCGAAGTCATACATACATAGGAGTATTCCAAATCATCCAAGTTATGGATGACCATGACTTAGTATTGAAAGCAATGGTGACTTGGGGATACAGTACCATGAACTCAGCTTCACATGCGCAGATGAATGCTTCTCCGCTTACCTTGAATCTAGGCCAAGTCTGGTAGTACAGAAGCTGAACATGAAGATGCGGACATGCTTAATCTTTAGTACAAGATGGCTAGCACCACAACAACACAGAGACTACATGACTTCCATGACTACATCTTCTAAAGCTGGCTTCAAACAAAGCTGCAAGATTTTGAAGCATGTGAGCCTGAGAAATCTGATTTGGCAGAGACCGTATGATTTCAAATTCCTTGGGGACTATGATACCCAGCAACTATCTAAGAATAGGGAGACTCCAGATTCTAAAGACTGTTCCAAGCCAATTCCATTTGGACGTTTGGACTGTTCCAAGAGTTTCACACTTCCTACCGTAGCCAAGCCATCTCCAACAGCTTTGCCATCAAAAACTCCGATCTGATGTGGCCGCAGCAGTGCCATGGGAGAACAGCAAGCGGCACAGCAACCTGCAGAGGCCGAGGGTCGCAGATTGGAACCCAGAAAATATAAAAAACAAGTGAGAAACGAGGGGAATCAGTAGTGTTCCAGGCGATGAAAGTCCAATGTCAGGACAAACACAATTTCAGAAAATGGGCAGTTCACCTTCCAGCCACTACTGGGAATTAGGCATCCCGCATTCGAGCATGGTTCAGCTGCCTCAAAGCACCTTTAATGTGAAATCTCCATGTTCCAACGGTGTTGCGACATGTTTTTTGACCCCCGAACCTCTGAAGCTACATGCATTCTATCTCTCTCTCTCTCTCTACCTAGCATATATGGGCGAAATTTCAGGGGATATGCGCCCAAGTTCTCTGGCTGTAAACCTCCGTTCGACCTGGGGGACCTGGTTTAAAATGATTAGTACCGCAGTTGCCAAGTAAACTACTGTACCAAGTGGGTTAACGACTAAAAAGCCTAGTTCAATTGGTCACTCATCTTATGTAGCAAGTAGAAACGTAGTTCAATTTCAACTATAAACCCATATGACACCATGCAATACCCCTATATAGATATATAATATACAATCCATTCTTTATCCCACATTGGTTACCCTTCCAACCATTCCAACTTTCTCCCGCTACGGCTAGGAGGATGGCGGGCCCAGCTTGCTCCAGCGGTTTTTGAACATCGGCAAGCGCTGCGTGGGCATCTTCGCCAAGAGTTCGCCGCCCGAGCCAAACCCGGAGGCAGCTGGACACCATGGGAACCCTCCAGGGATGGTGGGGGGGTCATGTTCCACATGTTCCACATGTTCCACATGGGATGCGTAGAATCACAGGAGATGTGTTCAGATGTTTTTTTTTGGGATATCTCAAAATGATTGTGACATCATTTCGTTTTTTTTTTTCGGGTGAATTTCAAATCATCCTATGAATAGAATTTGCTGAAGTGGAAAGGGAATCGAAGGGATAGACAACTCGATGGGTGAAAACCAGCAATGATGGTCAACTGGTGAAGTACATGAACAAATGGGTCAAGTCCGACTTGGGTGCCTTCGGAAACACCTCAACAATTGACTTCATAATTAGATATAATTAGTGACTATTGGAACAGTGAGCTAAACTATTTAACAAACATATTAACAATGTCTCGTTTATATCGTTCGGTGATTACCCGGGGTGAACTCCGAAACAATGGGCTGCTATCCCTAGCTAGTTGCTAGGTGGGGTGTGATCCCTTACCTGAATTACAACGGAAACTTCGTATGGACCCCAATCATATACCTTCTGGTAAACTAAGAGTTTGCTATCGAAAATGGTATTAGTGAAAGTATATAGATTATATATTTGCCTGCAAACAATGGTGGTTTTTCCACTTCGCAAACTGTGACCAGCGGGCAACAACCCAACTGTTCGTCTTACTCTGCTGTCACAGGTGGCTTTATATTTGGAATCCATCAATATCCAGCAGAGGCACTTGCTGCTTGGAGCAACTTTTCCCATGCCCCCATTACGATGGCTGCTGCTTTTCCCATCGAAAAAAAGGCCGGGTTTTCAGAAAAATTCTCCCGGAGGGTTTCCCTGGAAAAGGAGACTTCTATTGTTTCAAAGGAAAACCCGTGGTTTTTCCTGCAGAATTTCCAAACAATCCATTGAGGCCTGTCTTTGACGAATTTTCCGGTGCTAAGGTTGACGATCTACAACGTCTTCCATGCGACTTGGCGCCAAAAAGCGCTGATCTGCGAACGTCGGGGTGGTGAATTTTCAAATGGAACTACATGGGCAAGCTATCCATGAATCATATGAATGGTTTACCAATCCATTTTCATTGTTAAATATATTTATTATAACCGGAGTCCTGATACCCATTGATTACATCATATTACTATACATCCATGAATAATGAGAGTATGATTTCAATGATTGACTGATTGGTAAATTGTAGACCTTGGATGTCCTATGGGTCCCATCACAGTATAGTAATATTCGGGGATTATCCGGGTGAAGCAGCGCTTCTAATCCCATCCATAATAATGGGGGGGATTTGTGATGTACCCTTTGGTACACACACACACAAAATCACAAAAAACTATGGAAAACCACCATTTTACTCAGTAAACCATCGAACTAACACGTCATGTTTCACAGCAGTCACTAAAAACGTTTACTGGTAGATGCCACGACCTTTCCTCCCCAGGTGGATGCTTCAAATTCTGATCATGGGATTTTTCTGTTAGACAAATGGACATTTCTATGAAACATCCATCCCAGAAAATTGCATTTTTTGAAAAAAACCTATGACACTTCCACTCTTCCCATGAAACTTCCCATCTTTTTGGTTCGTTTACTCCCGATCTCCAGTGGCCATGGTGGTGTGCAGAGGCCTTGAAGGGTCTGGAGGAAGATGATTCCTTCTACACCACCGTCTATGCGGTGAACGCCGAAGTCCTTCCTGTGCCCTGGCGGCGGAAGTAGGACAAATGGCGATTTAACCTGGGGATTCTCATGGGGACTTTAAGATTGGTATACTGCAAGAATGGGGGCGTGATAGGATATGTATATATATATATATATAACTTTGTGATAGAATGTGATAAAACCAATCATAAGCCGCATCCTGATTTTTACCTGATGACACCACAAAAAGTTGGAGCTGCTTCCTTCGCCACTGTCATCTTTGCCGGAGAAGTTGATGTTCCAGTTAGAGGAGATCCAATATTGACGCCTTGCCGCCATGGCTGGAAACTGATTCTCCCTCAGAGGCCTCACCCGATAGCATGACGTTTAGCAATGGGGAAACTGATTGAATGGCGGCAAATCTTGCAGGTTTAGATGCGATTCCATCGGAAATTCACGGAAATTCCATGGAAGGTTTCCAATCCATTTGAAGTTAATCTTCAATATTCTCCACCCTGAAATGAGAGCCGTCAGGTGTTGATTGAAGATCGGAGGAAGTGGGTCCTGAAGCTGTTGAAATGCATCCTCAAACTGGGCGATTGCGAAAGGGAAGCGACCTGGGACAAGTTCCTCTGGGCGTCTCGGCGTCGGAGATCAGATGAGAAACTGGGTGGTCAGCAACCCAGAAATAGATTAACCATAGATAGATGGAGAAGATGGAAACCTGGAAAGTACACAGTAAGGTACATGTATGACATCCTGGAGACACTCTTTTCCTGAGCTTTTTGGCAAGCCTACTGACCATCGCTCGTGAATGGTAGGTGAATAGCTTGGTCTATGATTTGTCTTGAAATGGTGACAGGAGATAAAAAGGCGGGGTAAGCGAAAATGACAACGGAAACCACCGTCTTGAGTTTTATAAGCTCAATCCTCCTTTTTGGTTAGAATCCCAAAATTTGGTTAGAATATAATCCCATATTCCCCAATATGGTGCCCAATTTTGTTTCTGGTTGACATCCCATGTTTGTTTTCGTTAAATCATCCATACTGTGGATGGAAAGAAGTCCTAGACTTGGTAGGATGGGCAAAATCCCATTATAATCCCATCATATGTTTATAACACTGTTCATAATATTGGGATTCCAATGAAACACCATTGGGATTCCACAATTCCAAAAAATAACATAGTCCGAGTGTTTCATTGGAATCCCATTATGAAAACCGCATCCCAAGTGGTGCAGGATGCCACTGCCTTGTCGCCGCCAGGTGATGTTACGCTTTTGTTCGTTGAACAAAGTGGAGCTGGCACAGGCCTTGTTTCTCTGCATCTTGCGCATTCGTGATTCCACCACGTAGCTCGGCAGATATGTTTCAGTTTTCGTCACTTGTTTCTGGGACATCTCAAGTCATCATGGTATATAGATGGTACCCTCTGGTAAACGTTTACATAACTATGGAAAGATCCACCATTTTCAATGGGTAAATCCACTATAAATTGATATAAATTGCCATGTTCAATAGCTATGTAACAAATTATCAGAGGGTATGTGTTTTTCCCATGGTAGTCTTCTACATGGGCTGTCAGATGTGCAAGACTGGTTGATGTTTTGGGTAACCGGGGATACACATCGTCCCCACAAGCTGTCACTGCGGGTCGTTGGTGTCTGGGTTCGTGAAAGCCCAGCTAAATGAATCACAAAACAAATCGTGGACTTAGATGCAATCACCAGGCTTACTAACTATAGCTAGTTGGAATATGTTCAAGTTTGTGGGATGATCCTTTCAGTTACTTAAATTGGCATGGCTTCGAAGTTGTTTTTCCACTTACGGTGTTTTTTCTAAATCCTGTGATTTTTTCCTTGGTGAATTAGTGTAGCTCATGGTGGATCTCCAAACAGGTCCCCAGTAAACTGGGTCGCCATGGCCAAAGCGAAAACATGTGGAACGACTCATGGGTACCCTGTTGTCAAATCATATCCTAGTATTTACATGTATTTAAATTATATAACACTTACAAGAGTCAATTCTATCATCTATACAAATCTATCCAAGCATAATCGTTTTTCACGCAGGTATCACTACATCCGCTACTACGAGCTGGGTGAGTTCTTTGCCATCTATCGCAACTGCCCTGTGCGATCCTTTGATACGGCCCCTTGGATCCCGTAGATGCTATGCCGGCGACATGGGGATTCAAGAATTTTACAACGGTTAAAATAGGATTGAACGATATTTAACGGGGATTTCATTGGAATTCGCGGAATTTTATGGGGATATCAACTTAGGGATTGAATGGAACTTCATGGGATATAGGATGCTATGGGATGTGTAACTAACACTAGCGCTATTTGGGCGTGTCTGGAAATGATCGATTAACACCCAATTGATGGCAATCTTAAAGGGAAAACCATGGAAAAACTGGGCTTTATCAATGGGCGATTTTTTTTAGAATCATCTTCGCGTTGGTTAATCCACCCTTCAGGTGACATGTTGTTTTTTGTGACCATCTCAAGCAAACCCTCGCATTCAATGGATCAAACTTTGCTCGTTTCTGGATTCGGAGACCTTCAATTTGGATCAATTTGGTCAGTAAGGTGCCAGAGCTTGTTAGCCAATTTGGTGCACATAACTACTGACAGGACATAACTAAGGTCTATGGATGTTTATGGTAGAAATATCTATCGTTCATGGGAATGATCAGCAAACATAACTGGGGGCCCTCGAGCTACTGGTCGCTGTGTCCCTTTGTTCCGCACCATCTTTTTGTGTTTGTCATCCCCAGTTTGGTTCATTGCCCAACTTCCGTGGCTTACCAACTGGCCACCTGACCATCATTTATCACTTGTACCATCTTGTACCCCATTTATCACTATTTATCAATTGATGATCTTGATGCTTATCCACTTCTGGCTTCAGAATCCAAAACATCTGCCGAGGCGGACATCAACTTTGACCTCCTGCCCACCAGAAGGCGGTGGATTTTTGGGATCATCTACGGGAAAAAACTCAGCATTTTGCAAGAACTTAGGGGTCAATCCCAGATTTTTTGAGGTCCAACATCTGTATACTGGACCTGGGATATTTTACCATGAACTTGCCAATCATGGATCACAAATGATTGGTCATTCATAGGATCTGAAAACGCCTAAAACTGTCCATGTGACGAGGCATTCATCTCTGTTTTTAAGCGTTACTTAAGTCATCGATTTTTTTCCCAAAAGCATCTTCGATGCTTGGGTTCTCGTTTAGTTGTTCAACCGCGTGGGGGAGCGACCTGGCTCGAACGGTGGTGTGCGGACGGCGTGGGTGCAAGGGAAAGGAAAGGAAAGGAAAGGAAAGGAAGGGAAAGGAAAGGAAAGGAAGGGAAAGGAAGGGAAAGGAAGGGAAAGGAAGGGAAAGGAAGGGAATCGAAGGGAAAGGAAGGGAAAGGAAGGAAAAAGGAAGGAAAAAGGAAGGGAAACGAAGGGAAAGGAAGGGAAAGGAAGGAAAAAGGAAGGAAAAAGAAGAGAGGAAGGGAAAGGAAGGGAAAGGAAGGGAAAGGAAGGGAAAGGAAGGGAAAGGAAGGGAAAGGATGGGAAAGGATGGGAAAGGAAGGGAAAGGATGGGAAAGGAAGGGACAGGAAGGGAAAGGAAGGGACAGGAAGGGAAAGGAAGGGAAAGGATGGGAAAGGAAGGAAAAGGGAAGGGAAAGGAAGGGACAGGAAGGCAAAGGAAGGGAAAGGAAGGGAAAGGATGGGAAAGGAACGGAAAAGGATGGGAAAGGAAGGGAAAGGAAGGGAAAGGATGGGAAAGGAACGGAAAAGGATGGGAAAGGAAGGGAAAGGAATGGAGCGGACGGCTGCGGACGGCCTGGGTGCAAGGGAGTGGCTGGAAATGGGTGGGGAGAAGAAGCCGCTGGTGATGAGCGAGCTTGGCTGCGCGGACGGCTGCGGACGGGGAATGGGTGCGGAGAAGTGCGCGGACGGTTGTGGATGGCGCGAGTGCACGCCGTGGCTGGAAATGGATGGGGAGAAGAAGCCGCTGGTGATGAGCGAGCGTGGCTGCGCGGACGGCTGCGGACGGCAAATGGGTGCGGAGAACTGCGTGGACGGCTGCGGACGGCGTGGGTGCAACGGAGTGGGTGGGGAGAAGAAGCCGCTGGTGATGAGCGACCTTGGCTGCGCGGACGGCTGCGGACGGCAAATGGGTGCGGAGAACTGCGCGGACGGCTGCGGACGGCGTGGGTGCAAGGGGGTGGCTGGAAATGGGTGGGGAGAAGAAGCCGCTGGTGATGAGCGACCTTAGCTGCGCGGACGGCTGCGGACGGCAAATGGGTGCGGAGAACTGCGCGGACGGCTGCGGACGGCGTGGGTGCAACGGAGTGGCTGGAAATGGGTGGGGAGGAGAAGCCGCTGGTGATGAGCGACCTTGGCTCTGCGGACGGCAAATGGGTGTGGAGAACTGCGTGGACGGCTGCGGACGGCGTGGATGCAACGGAGTGGCTGGAAATGGGTGGGGAGAAGAAGCCGCTGGTGATGAGCGACCTTGGCTGCGCGGACGGCTGCGGACGGCAAATGGGTGCGGAGAACTGCGCGGACGGCTGCGGACGGCGTGGGTGCCAGGGAGTGGCTGGAAATGGGTGGGGAGAAGAAGCCGCTGGGGATGAGCGAGCGTGGCTGCGCGGACGGCGACGGCAAATGGGTGCGGAGAATTGCGCGGACGGCTGCGGACGGCGTGGGTGCAAGGGAGTGGCTGGAAATGGGTGGGGAGAAGACGCCGCTGGTGATGAGCGAGCTTGCTGCGCGACTGCTGCTTACGGCAAATGGTGCGGAGAATCTGCGCGTACGGTTTTTGTGGATGGCGCGGTGCAACGGCGTCGGCTGGAAATGGAATGGGGGATAGCAGAAAGCCGCTGGTGATGAGGAGCGTGGCTGCGCGACGGCTGCGGGACGGCAAATGGTGTCGGAGAACTGCGTGGACGGCTGCGGACGGCGTGGGTGCAACGGAGTGGCTGGAAATTGGTGGGGAGAAGAAGCCGCTGGTGATGAGCGACCTTGGCTGCGCGGACGGCTGCGGACGGCAAATGGGCGCGGAGAACTGCGCGGACGGCTGCGGACGGCGTGGGTGCAAGGGGGTGGCTGGAAATGGGTGGAGAGAAGAAGCCGCTGGTGATGAGCGACCTTGGCTGCGCGGACGGCTGCGGACGGCGAATGGGTGCGGAGAACTGCGTGGACGGCTGCGGACGGCGTGGGTGCAACGGAGTGGCTGGAAATGGGTGGGGAGAAGAAGCCGCTGGTGATGAGCGAGCTTGGCTGCGCGGACGGCTGCGGACGGGAAATGGGTGCGGAGAATTGCGGAGACGGTTGCGGACGGCGTGGGTCCAAGTGAGTGGCTGGAAATGGATGGGGAGAAGAATTCGCTGGTGATGAGCGAGCTTGGCTGTGCGGACGGCTGCGGACGGCAAATGGGTGGGGAGAATGGCGTGGACGGCGGACGGCGTGGGTGCAAGGGAGTGGCTGGAAATGGGTGGGGAGAAGAAGCCGCTGGTGATGAGCGAGCTTGGCTGCGCGGACGGCTGCGGACGGGCAATGGGTGCGGAGAATTGCGCGGACGGTTGCGGATGGCGCGGGTGCAACGGAGTGGCTGGAAATGGG